CCACGTGTCGGGTAACTGCGAGGTCGGGCCAAATTCCCCTTCATCAATTACGATTGGATATGTATCTCATTAGTCGTGCATATCAATATGATATGCCTTTGTATCAAGTCGAATTGCACCGTACGGAAGTGTATCCATGTCTACTTTGATAAAACTGTACATTGAGTACTTTTGGATTGTTTTTAATACAAATTAAAAATAGTAATATGAAAAATGAAATAAATAATTTAAGATTTAATTTTTTCAAAAAATTAAAAAAAAAAACTATAAATTATAAAAATAATAAATTTCATCTACCTTATATGATTTATATATTTTATTTTACACATATTTATATGTTAAAAATGAAAATATTGTTATTATTTGAAAAAATAGTTATTATATAAAATACTAAATAAATAAATTTTCCCAACAAAATTAATGGAAAACAGAAAATTATAATTATAAAAACTGAAATAGATAATTTAAGATTATTTAATGTTCCCAAAAGATTTAATAAAATCTGAAAGTTAAATATAATTTATTTTGTCCACCTTAAATGATTTTTTTGTTTTATTTTACAATTATGTGTAAAATAAAAATATTATATGCTAAAAATCAAAACATATTTACTATTTAAAAAAAGTTGTTATTTAAATAAAATACTAAAATAATAAATATTCTCAAAAATTGATAAAATTTGAAAATTTAATTATAAAATTGAAATAATGATAATTATTATACAATGTTTGAATGCTCTAGAGCCCCAGTATTGTTTATTGTAATATTTCTCTTTATATAACCTATTGAAGTATGCATTTCTCATGTCTTTATATATTACTCATAGATAATTCAGCTTTACGTTTACTATTATTAATATATTTATATGATTTATATGCATTTCACTAGGCTATCCAAGTGTTTCTATATCTTTCGTTTGTATCCATACGTTTCCAAAATGTATCTATATCCGTAGCCATATCCATACCCGACTTACCCGATACAATATCCAATACCAATACTTTAATCCTTACAATTACTATTCTTGAATTATACTTACAATTACTATACTTGAATTATAGGTGTGACACAAATGAAACATGGTGCGAGAAGGGATTTTTTTTTCAGTCATTCAATTGAGACTTAACGAGCAAGCTATTAATTTTCTATCAATGCATGTAGTACATGAATAATTTTTTGATTGACGGTTCACATACCACCTGTAATCACTTCATCCCTTGATAAACAACAACATCTTGTCCTCGAAGGATGTCCATAGGGGTTGTTCCTCGGAGCATACTCCTTGGATGACTAAGCTTATTGTTCCTTAGAAAACCCATCCTATAGACCGCTTTGACCCTTGTTTTAGGGGTTAATTGTGTTTGAAAATTCTTTAGAATTTTAAGGGGTAATATCCAATAATTAGGCAAAATGGTAAATCCTTTTTTTGCTCAATAATGGATACACCCGCCATTAAGCAAGGGGCTAATGTATGAGGACAGACTCATATACCACGGGGAAAGACGTATTTTCTAACTATAAAAGGCAGCGCAACACCCTCTACTCAAAATAAATCATTTATTAATATAAATACATTTTGCAAAATGAATTTAAGACTTATGAAATCCACTACCAATAGTTTTTGGCTTACATCAAAGAGAGTATATTTTGAGATATTTTCTTGGTTAATTTGACAAAGTGCTAGCTTGACCCTTCATAATGATCACATACTAAGTGTTATTCCAATCTACTCCAACATATCTAAGTATTTGGCCCTAAAAAGATCTCATCAATTGGCATATTGAAAGCAAACTAGTCTAATACTTAATAGAGTACCATTATCAAGTCAGAAGATTAAATACAACTTTCTGATTTCATTCATCTATCTCCAATGTCCAGGGTTAAACAAAAAATGGTCTCATTTAGTGTTTCTTAAACACTCATTCATTGTATCTTAGGCCTAACCCAAGTAGGTAAGACTAACTATTCCACTAGTTCGACAGCAAAGTGTCAACCTTGTCATCATAAATGCCTTGAATTTATAAATTGGTTGAGAACATTTAGGCTTACATAAGTTTCATAAATGTATAATCAAGGAGTATTATAGAGAAAGAAACCAAAACACATGAAATAATAATGAATTGATTTTACTCATTAATAAATATCATTAATGTACATCAGTTTAATGGAGTTGAGGGCATACACTATCTAATAGGTTCAATAAATATGGACTAAAGTGGTGTTTGATTGCACTTTTCAGATGTCTGGGATCTGAAAACGTTGCTTTTCATACACCACTTTCATTTGGTATTTCTTCTTATTACTAGATCTGAAATCCAATTTCAGATCTTACTTCCTAAGAGGTGGAGCGGGTCCTTAATGCAGTCAAACGTAATTCATAGGTGTGTAAAAGACATAAGTGTCCTCAAAGAAATTTAAATATGACATGGTTTGTCTTTCATATAAACTTGGAAATTAAGTCATTTGAACCCTTACTACGACCTGAACAAAACTCCACCGCCACCACCGCCAATACAACTTGTAGCAGCAGCTCTCTCTCTCTCTCTCTCTCTCTCTCTCTCTCTCCCCCCTGTCTTCCTACTACAGTGGCAATGGCTCCCTCTCTCTCTCTTGATCTCACTGCAAGTTGCAGCAGCGACAATTCTCTCTCTCTCCCTCTCTTCCCGCCACAACGGCGACGATTCCCTCTCTATCTCTCTCCCCCATCTTCCTATCACCGTCGCCGCAAGTTGCAACACTTGCAGCGACGATGGCTCTCTCTCTCTCTCTCTCTCTCTCCCCTAACCACGCTGCAAGTTGCAACAATGGTTCGGGGAGTAGTAGTAGTTTAATATTTTTATAGTCATTAGTTCTTTTTTTAATTTTAATCATTTCATTTATTAATTAGTAATTTTTAATTATTAACTTATTATTTTTTATTTGTATTGTTTCAATACTATTTTGAGGTTGAAACTTATTTTTTATGAGATAATGCACATTGAACTCAACATTTCCAAATACTATGTTGTAGGGGTAAAATAGTAAAATTAGTGAATTTTAGTAAAGGATTGATCGAACACAAAACTTATGGCTTCAGAGCTTTTAAAAAGTAGAAAAGCACCTATGCTTCTTTTCAGATTTCAGACATGAAAAATATCTTTTTAACTTTGTAGATCTGAAATTTCAGATTTGTCAAACGCCACCTAAATGTTTATCATTTTCAGATCATGTGAGTAGATCCTACAAAAATTGAACGCCTCTAGTCTCTCTATGAACATTTTTTCAGGAGTACAAAATTTAGCACCAGTCTACCCTAAGTACTTTGCACCAACTAGTTTACACCAATCTATTTGCATTGAGTAGTATTAAGCTGATTCTTTTTCTCTTTAGAAGCTCATGGTTTATATATTTAGTTATTTTGCTGGCCAATTTATTGAAAATGGTTCAGTAGCATCACTTTCTGTTTAAACACCTTGCTATCCATGTTTAAACAATCAAAAAACTCATCATCTGAATCTTTTATACTCCAATCAATTCATATGGTTGGTAACATAATGCTTGTTCTATCCTATATTTCAATAATATCCTTGAAATGGTGCATTTATTTTAACATGATTTAATGAATGAATCAAAAAAAGTAGAAAGATGGTGAATTTTCAAATAGTTTATATGTATTGAAAATCTGGTGAGGATGAACATCAAAGAAAATAGAAAGATATATGTTAGATTTTCTAGTCTATGGAGAAACAACCTTCTTAAATATATATATATATTAATAAGAAAGGGGTGGTCTCCCCTTTCGCCAAGTGGCATCAGTAATTAATTATAACCAAGTGCCCCATTATTATAAATAATTAATAATTGATGTTATGATAAATAATTAATTATAAGATTAGTGATTATAATTAATAATTACGGTTATCATAAATATTGTTAATAAATGGATATCTACTTTAATTTTACTTTAAATTAAAATTATAAATACTGTTATTAATAAATACTTTAATAAAATAAATATATATTTACTTTAATTTTACTTTAAATTAAAATTATAAATACTGTTATTAATAAATACTTTAATAAAATAAATATATATTTACTTTAATTTTACTTTAAATTAAAATTATAAAAACCATTATTAATAAATTTAGTAATTATTGTTATATTAAAAATAATTAAAAATGTTATTAAAAGTATTGTTATTGATTATTTAATAAAATATTATAATTACTGGCTATTACTAATAAATACTGTTAATTTAATTTAATTTTGTTATTATTAATTTAATGAATATTGTTAATAAATCCTATTCATAAATTTAATAATTATTGTTATATTAAAAATAACTAAGTAATATTATTAGAACTATCATTACTGATTATTTAATGAAATATTATAATTACTTACTATTATTGATAAATGCTGTTAATAATTAAATATTTAAAAATAATGTTAACAAAAATCAGCAAAAATAATGTTTGTCTTTTTGCTTATTGAATTTCTTTGGTTTAAATTTTTGGGTTTTGTGCTTTGAAGATTACATAATATTAGTTAAAAATGCTATTTGCATTTAGCTTAATGAATTGCTTCAAGGTTCTAAATATCGACACGGGTTGATACATACGCCCTGTGTCGGTGCTTTTTTTATGTTTTACTTTTTTTTTCAAATCAGTTCAGAGGGGTCGGTTTAAGGCCTAGCTACCCTCTGAACCAGTGGCTGACCCGATACAACCCTTGTAGGAGCATATCGAGGAGCTACCGACACGATACGTATCGGCCGATACGAGCCGATACATGCCAATACTTTGAACCTTGAATTGCTTTGGTTTACATTTATAGATTTTGTGCTTTGAAGATTTTACATATTATAAGTTAAAAATATTGCTATTTGATTTTTTTTTAATTTTATAATTGTTATACCTAAAATTGTCAAATAATGTAACAATAACAATTGTCAAATAATTATAAAAATTATCAAATATAAATTAAAATAAATTACCATTATTAGACATAAATTACCAATATTTATAAAAATTACTAAAAATAAATCAAAAGAAATTATCACAAATTGTACTTTGAGACACGTATTACCTCTGCACTTCTTGAAGGTAAATCCCGACCATCGTTTAGCATGTCTTGAAGATTTTGAGGAAGTATGGATATTATCCTTCCCACCCGGTGTTGTACATCACTACATGCTCTAGTCACCTTTTCAAGGTTATCTTCTATCTACTTGAATCGTTCATTGCTATCCTCATGCCCACAACCTCCTCTTGTTGATGTAGACTCTAATGCTCTATATCTACAACTCATGCTTAGAGTGGAAAGAGTAACGCCCAATCCATACATTTGCACGTACTCTATCGCTCCGCTCCAAATATTTGATCAAAATCATCATCATTAGGGATTGAGGACCCACCAAAAGTCATGGCCTGTTGTGATGCCAGGTTCTCTAATTGTTCCTACAAAAGACAATATAATTATGAGGCTAATATGGGGTTTTTATACTAAATCATATAATTAACATTATATAAACAAACCATTGCCCTTCCTGATTCTGCATCTACAGGCGCCCCATCTTTCCTTCGATTTGTTTTGATCCACACAACTCCCTTGCTTGGTTGTGCCCCATCACCGGTTTCCTACATCTATATCCATACTAAGCATTAGACATTAGCACCATTTTCAAGTAGTAGTATAATTAACTAATTATATTACCATCTCATGACGCAATCTTGCATTACTCTTAGTCCCCCCAAAGTGTGCGTATTTTTGCTGGGACCGATTTCCTCTGGCTATAGCACTCCATTCTACAATTTTATAAAAACTACAAGTGTAAGGCCATGTATGTTGTGGCACTCAAACAATATAGGTTAATCAATATAATTAAGAGATAATACCTTGCCCTCATCAGAGTTCCAAAAAGCGACAAGAATCTGACATTGATCGCTAGGAACCTTATTTGGGCAATTCCGCATTGCCTCATCAGGGGTAACTAGATCATAATACATGGCTTTCAAATCTGACTTGTAATCTTTCCATTTTTTTCCAATCGAGGACAATACCCACTTTCTACCTTTGTTGTCTATCTCAAATTTACCCTACAAAGAACACATTTAAACCAATGAATTAGCGATTAATGTATGAATTCAAACAAATAAGCAGACTTAAATAAAAAAAATTATACCAATACAAGGTTCCAAATGTCCTCCTTACGTGGAGTTGGAATGATTGGAAAGGTGGTAGAGATGGGACCACAGATTTAAGTCACTGCATGATTGGCTGGGTCAATCAAATTTGAGGGTGACACATGGCGCTGGATGGCATGGACTAGTTGGTGGATGATGTGGATAAAAGGTGAGGGCAGGAGGGTTGGTAAATGATTGTTACAACAAGGCCATGAACTCAGGTAAAGTGTACCAAGGCAAAGGTCACAATGAGAAAAAAGAGGCAGAAGGTCGTGATGTGCTTGCCTGGAAAGATATTGATGGAGGACAAAGGAACTAGACTGGACAATGGGTGCTCAATGCCATGGCTATAGCTTGGGTACCTCCTGAAGAAGGTTTCATTAAGCTTAACTTTGATGCTAGCAGCCTGGGGAATCCAGGACCCACATGAATTGGGGATGTTTTAAGAAATGCAGATGGCAGTATAGTTGCTTTATGTCCAGGTCCTATTGGTGTGTGGAACTCTCTTCAAGTTGTTCTACAGGGGGCACAACTTGCTAGGGAGTTAAGGGGGACTTGAAGCTGATAATTGGGTGGCTAAGGAATCTAGATTCCAGACACTATTGTTTGGGCCTACAGGGAAGCTATGAAAAGAGTCAAATGGTTGACCTCCAATATGACAATAAGAATTCAGTGGGAAAGGAGGTCGGCTAATGGGATAGCTGACTGTTTAGCTAAGCAAGGGGTGCATAGGGATCATCTTTTCTAGGCTCAATTGTAATATGGTTCTATTTGGTATTGGGAGGCTGCATCCCATGCCACCTTATGGGAAGTTCTTTGTACAAATTGCTTCTAATGAACTATTAATAAAATATTTCTATTACTTACCAAAAGAAGGCTCTTAATACCTAAAATAGTATCATTACAATCGGCAATGTTGTTACATTTATCAAGCACTTCTCTTCATTGCTCAGATCATCAAGTACTATCTGCAACTATACATTTATCAAGTACTGACTTTTAGGAAATGTTGGAACTATTATTAGCTCTTTTATTTTCTTTTCAGATAGAGAGAGAGAGAGATCAGGTTTATATCTGGATGCAAGTAGATGCACATGCAGGTTAAAGGGTTGGATCTGGGATAGGTTATACTAAATTGGGCCAGATATGAATCATGCTCTCTGAATCTGATATAGCCCTTTTATGGTGAAGTTTGCTGTTTTTGTTTTGTCATTGAGGACCTTGGAGGAATCGTTATGGATCAGTTATAGGTTGGCAGACAATTGTGGGATACTCTCTTAGAAGACAACAAAGAATGGTGATTGGCATGTACTAGAGCAAGGAAGAAAGTTGAATTTTGATGGTTGCAACTTAGGGCAATCCAGGTTCTTTGGACATTAAAGGGATAATAGGAAATGAAAGGGGAAACATTCAGTTTAGTTTCTCTGGGTCCATTGTTGTTGAAAAGTGGTTAGATAAGAAAAAGGCTCTAACTGCTAACCCGAAATGCTTGTTCGGGTGGATCCCTAGAGCTAAAAATACTTTGCCAGATTCTCTAGTTTGAACAGGGGTAACAACAAACAGTTTTGTATGAGGTAATCCATGACAAGGAGCAGATTTGTATGAGGTAATCCAGGCCCCACCCAGATAGAAAGCAAAAAATTCTTCTTAGTTAAAAAAAAAAAAAAAAAAAACATTATTAGCAAGCAACAAAGTCCTAGAGAATATTTAAAACCAAATCTTATTAAAGGATAAAATGGTATAAGTAGAACCATTAAAAAAATAAAATAAAACAAGGAACAGTTTGAACATAATCAAAACAACAAAACAACCACCTAGGTCAGCAGTTCAGCCATCTAGGTCAACCCCTGGTGTCATCATTATAAAAATAAAAAATTCAAAATAATTAAAAATAATATTCTACAACTAAAAATTTGCTTTTGATAATTTATTCTACTACTAAAATTAAAAGATAGAAAAGAAAGGATTTGGCAAAATGAACCACTATTAAGGAGCTCAACAAAATCAAACTTTACAAGGTCCTTTGGACTACATGAATGGTTCCAAGGATGAGAAGGCCATATACAAGCAAGGTTCAAAGTATCGATACGATACGCATATCGGCAGTATCATATTGGTACTTAGAAACGCCCAAAACTCTTTTCTTTTTTAGATTTTTTTCAAATTTTGGTTTTTTGGGAAGCTAAAAGCATGTTTTTTATTATTAAAAAAAGTTGGGGTTTCAAAACACCTAGAAACAGGCATTTCGGAGCGTATTTTTTTCAAAAGATACAATACGATACGCCCAATACTTTAAACCATGTATACAAGAACTTCATTCAGCAAAATTTAATAAAAACTCAACCAGCACAAAAAGGAGAGATCAACAGTGTTATAAACCCACCTCAAAACTAGTGGGTCTAGCATGCTAACACATGGACAACATGCAAACACATATCACTTGAAATAGCACTTCTTGTTACACACGCTGATGATGCACCAAGCTGAATTCAATGAAAAGATTTTTGGCTTTTGAAACTCTTGGACAATGCCATAAGAAAAGGGAAAATTTCTTGTAGCAACAGAATAAATTTTATTCAAGCATAAAAAAGAATAAGATCCCTGCCATCCAAAGGGTGGAAAGCAAGAAACAATGACAATGAACAAAAGGATGGCAAATCTAAAAGTAAACATCACATAGAAGACTTTACAAATTAATTATTAACCACGAGTTTACTTTGATTTTCTAGAAGATGGCATGCAGTAATATGTCTAAGGAGACTTAATGACCTGGATACCCAAGCAATGTATTATGGATAACTTGAAAATTAAAACCCACTAGCATTCCTTTAGGTTATGTTTGAATTAAGGTGTAAATCAAAATGGACAAGGAATTGAGCAAACCAAGTCCATGTACAGGAAAAGCAGTCAAAATCATCAATATGATGTTGTTATTTCATTACTGTACTGCATTGGCATTTTTCTTTTGAAGAAGATAGCTGTCTATATTATACTAGAGCCGAACAAGTTGTATTTAAGAAGGTTTTCATAGCTATACAAAGAGAAAAAGACAGCCCTCCTTAAGTATTAAAACCAAGGAGATAAAGAGCTATTTACTGTGGGGAGAGAAAAATAACATTTGTGCCCCTGATCTTGCAAGCCCATCTATCACAGCATCTAACTCTATTGGTATCCACCCAATTTTAGCTGAAGTGGGTTCAATGGTTTCATACTCTCATTAAAGGTTTCAAGAACTCTGGTTGTGTTAGCTGAATCAGCACTCTGGTCCAGCCTTGAGTCAAAAAGAAGAAGAGGGGAGGGGAAGAAGGTATTCAATTACTTGCCAAAAATACCCTTGAATTCCTTAAAATTTATAACTAATGGATTATACATTTAAGGGTTGATCAATTCCATTCGCCACAGGCATATTTCAAATCAAGATTTTTACTTCCTTTTGACCTAGTGACCAAGATAATGGCCTTGACATGCTTATATAGCATGACTCTCCATGTTTTGAAAACAGATGAATTGTGAGCTTTCATACTCCATGTTTTGAACACATAGCTACCAGATTGTCTTATTTGGAAAGGAAAACCCAGTTCTGGATGGTGCCACACAGACCTGATCAAAACTTTACTAATTTGCTTGCATGAGTGAGTCCCAGGTGGCTAGGCCAGTCTGTGCATACATTTCCAATCCAGACAGTCTTCCATGTAGACTGTACTGTTCGATACATCATTTACCAGACTTAGGAATGTTCCAAGAGTTCTGATTCTGTTTCATACTGAAGAGAATGTTAGGATAGCTGACCTTGGAACAAGGCTGATGATGATGACCACATATGGTGTTAGGATGAGTCCATGGAATCAACAGGTAGGTTTTCCTCTACTAGTCAGCAAATTGGGTTAAAAATGGTCGGTACCTTCAAATAAGTTTGGTATCACTTTCAATGTAGATGCAGAATAGTAAATTCATTGATCCATTCACTATATATGCATACATACATGTACAACACATATATGCACACATATACATGCATATATGTATGTATGTGTTTGAACTTTGAATAGAATGGAATGGAAGAATGGGAATTGTTAATTGGGCATACAACGGATCTGAATCAACCTGTTAAAATGGATGGTTAAGATGCTACCTATATTAAAATGGACCGGATATTGTTCCCATTTATGAGTCCACTCAAATTCCAATCTAGATTTGGGAAGGGGGAAAAGCCCACAGGCCAGAACTTTTCAAATTTAAACCTAGATTTTTATTGCATTTTGCAATTCCTTGACTTTTATAAATTTTTGGTTTCTAGTTTAATTCTTAATAACAAAAAGTATCCAATCTGAAGCTACTTTAATTCACCCACAACCATTTCAGTGTTCTTTTTTATTAGAAAACTAAATCTAGTCATATAAGGCATATTTTGACAGAAATATATAATGATGCCCAAACACTTGTGTCATTTCATTGTCTACTACGCTGGTACATTTAATTTCCTCTCCATAGTGTCCATATTCGATCATATAATTTTCTTTTATTGCTAGTAGAATTTATACTCTATGATTTGATATTTTTACTCAATTTAGAATCAACGAAATACTAATAAAGAAAAATTAACACACAATCTGCTACTATCATATCTCAAAAATGCTTGTAAGTTCAAAAAAAAATATCAAGGTTCAGCGGCGTGCTCAGCCACCTTGCCTTGGATTACTTTTTGGGATAGTCAAATGATTCCTTTCTTTCCTTCCTCCCTTTCAATTTCTTTGAAATTCTGATGCATCTTGATGCATGCACTAGTGAATGGGCTGGGTAGTGATTCCTATTCCCTGAGCCTGAGGCCTGATAGCTGATCGCTAACTTTATTCCATACTATATGAGTATGAGCAAATTAATAGGTGTGGCTGAAAAAGGTACAAAACTACAAATTGGAGGATTCAGAACTACCAACTGCACATGGACCGCCATGTGGGCCATTCGCTAGGGTTTATGAATCATGAATTTTTCTTCTTAGTTAGAAGGGGGTTGGTGGCAATCAAACTTTTATAGACTTTCGTTCAACTGGTTATCAATAAAATTAATTCTCCAAATCCATTGTTTGGGAGTTACAGAAACAACCAATGTAGCATGATTAATTAAGAATTTATGGATACTAAAGTATACTAGTCCATAGCCGATCGATTATTGCAGGTTATATGTTGTAAAAACAGTACATATATATTATCATTAACAAACACTTGTGTCAACATTCCAACCCTAAATGCAGAGGGTGCACATCTACTAGAAAATGTCACCTTCTTCAGATGCATCAATTAATTAAATCGACAAAAAAATACACAGGTGTCAAACTCTTAGAAATGATTCCAAGCAATTTTACTAAGTTATAACCTAGGTTTTCTATTTATTGATGAGGTTTCAGCAAAATCTAAACATTTAGGAACTTTATTAGGATCAAATGCCAATGTGCGAGAGAGAGAGAGAGAGAGATTTACCTGTCGATCTTCCTTTTCAGTTCGAGTTTCAGTTTTTTGCTCTTTCTTAAATCAAACAGAGAGAGAGAGAGAGTGCGAGAGAGAGAGAGAGAGAGAGAGAGAAAGAGAGAGATGACTAAGAGAGAGAGAATCGGCTGGGAGAGGAGAGGGCGGGAAGAAGACGAATCGTGAAGAGGGAGAGGTGCGAGTGTGTGACTCAAATTGGGGCAGTCGATCGATCTTTTAGTTCGAAAACTGCCACTACAAATATAATTTTTAGTCGATCAATTTCTTTTTCTTTTAATACATTTTTTGTTTTATTACCAAAATACATAGAATTTGTATTGAATGGTTTCGTGGAAAATGAAAACCGAATGAGATAATTAAATCTGTACAACTGACTCAATAAACTTGAATTATCCTTCGAATATAAATATGTGAGGGAAGGGTAGAGTGTCGTGCATGCTTCCTCTAGGATAGTCAGGCCCGGCATGGTCCACAGAACATGCCCATACACGCCTGGTCCGAGCGGGCTTCAGGCCTTGCCATGGACCTGGGCCAGGCCGGGCTGGGCTACAGGTCAGGCCTTGGGCCTGGGCCAAACCAGGTTAGTGTTTTTTTTCATTTTTTGTTAAGTAAAGTGATACAAATTTTGGAAAAAATAAAAATTTAACAAAAAATTCTTAACAAAATACAAAATAAACAACAAATTGGAAAAAATATTAGATATTTTATTTAATTTGAATTTGAACAGTACAATGGATGAATGGAATGAACTATAAAAACAATATAATCAAAATATAAATTTAAAATAAAAAGAATTACAATGGTATTATTGAAAAAATAACAAATTATTTAATTAAATTTGAAAAACAAAATTTATAATAATTTTAAAAATTAAAAATGCTACACAATTATTGAGTATACAAAAAGAAATATTGACTTCATTTTCTTCTAGTAAAACATTAGGTGAATCGCCATGGCCTCCTTTATCTTGCAATCCATCCCCATCATCCAGTCAATTCATCAAGCATATGCACATCTCCAAGCTTTCATCATTCATGGAGCTTTTCTTGTCATCTAACAATGTAGTACCTACAATAAAACAAGACTATGGTGGAACTATAGACACCAAACGGGTTAGTAAATCTTGTGCCATGGTGGCAAGAACAAGATAATTTTTTCCATGTTTACTCCACTAGGCCAAAATATCAAAAATATTAATGAATCATTTAAATTAGAAAATTTGGTTTGTAAATAAAAGTTAAGTTCAGTGAATAAACATAATGATGAAGTGGTAGTTGATTTTTGTCTTTTATTTATTAAAAACCAAAATTTTTCTCTTCAACTACTAGAACTATATGTTTTAGGAGTGGAAGTTGCACATGCACAAGTTTTCCTATGCCCTAATAATTGAGATTCATATAAATTATTAATTTCAGTTTTTTATTTCCAATATCAACATCCATATTTTCATAATAAGATTCAAGACATTTAAACAATCTTTCCTAATCCTAGGATCTAATATTGTAGTTAAGCAATAAAGAGTAGAAATTTTTTAATATTTTCTAAATTTAACTTTTATTATTTCAATAATACTTTTAAAAATTTTAAATACTTTTACAATTTTCAAAATATTCACTAATCATAAATAAATAATTAACTAAAATACAAAGGGTTGGGTAATAAACACCCAAAAATTCATTAGTTGTATTATAAAAAATTTGTAAAAACACTTTTATACAAACTATCATTCCCTAGTCATCATTAGTTATAAAATCATTTAGCATTTTTTCATTATAAAAATTAGTTAAAATTTTTAACATAAAATAGGTAGAATTCCACCTATCTTAAACATCTAATACAAAAATTTTATATTTTAAACCATATTTTTGACATAAATATTTAAATTATTGTTTTCTTGTTTCAAAACTTCTATATATATATAATAATATTTAAAGCATCTTGAACACATAAATTGAAGATGTGACATGCACATCTAATATGAAATAATTTACCATTTAAACAAGATTTTAATTGAGATTCAAAAATACTTATTGCTGAATCATTATTACTAACATTATCAAAACTAATAGAAAAAGTTTATTTTCAATTCCATAATTATGTGAAGTATTTAAGACACTTGTAGAAATTGTTGGGCTAGTAAATACTCATTCAAGCCTAGTAAAACTTAAAATTCTTTTTTGTAAAACCAATTTTCATCAATAAAATGTCTAGTCACACAAATATAACTTATACTATATTTAGAAGTCTAAATATAAAAAAATAATTGCAACATTATAATTAAGTATTGATAAAGTAGAAATTAAATTTTGTTTATATGAATAAAAAATTTAAAGCATATCTAAGAATATTTCAAGAAGCTTTTCTAATTGGGGATAAAAAGGATGATGTACAAATCTTTCAAACTTAGCATCTTTAATTAAAAAAGTGGTTGTCCAGCATATACATTATATATTTTTTTTTAATTATTGTCTAATTTTTCTTGAGAATATTTAAAATCATCAGGAAACCCATGCCCAATTTGTCAACCTCTTCTATGCTAAATAATTTCCAGACCAAGTTAGTCAACTAATTGCCCTTCTTTTTCTTTCCCCTAGTTATAGTACTAGGGGTGGGAACTCCAACCACATCAATTCTAACACTATCATATTGTGACTGAACATAGTCAAAGTTGAACATGTTGGGAAATTTGTTGTGAGAGGACTGGTAAGCTATGCCACGTGCCGGCCCATGGGCCTAAAACCCAAGCATAGCATGGCCCACGTGCTACAATGATGGGTCAGCATGACCTAATTTATAGCTCTAGGGAAAACCCAAATTTCCTACTCACTTTGTCTCCCCGTGCCCTACCCACATGCAAATTGCAGTCGTACATCTTATAATAAAAAATGGCAATGTGTAGTTGGAATTCATGATGGGTAGAATGTGGGTAGAGAGCAGTGGGCAGGAAATCCGGTTTGGGTATGGGCATGAATGACTAGGAGAGCATTCTTGATAACCATGAAAAACAAAGGGAGATGCAAAAATTGTTGACTGTAGTTCCTAAGAAAATGGTGTTGTTCTCCAACGCCTAAGTGCATTTAATTGGTAGTGGAGATCAAATAATCCACCCAAAAGTAATTAGGATTAAGGGTGCTTTTGAATCCTCAACAAATATTTTCCATGCAAAATTTTTTAAGCTAGAGAGAAATAATTATCTTGGGGTTCACGTTCATCTATGATACCGTAAAAACATACATCCAATCAACAAATGTCATAAAAGAGGGGACCAACCAGGTGGTGTTTACTATAATTCATAGGGGTGCTTTGATAGCTTAAAGTTCTTCCCAATGTTTTTGAACCGCCATTGACCTTGGTGATCGAACCGTTTGGCCCATAAACAATCCAAGCAACCGGTTTTTGTTTAACCCTTCACCCGTTGTTAGGCCAAAATTTGTTGGTTTGGTCAAAGAACCACAGACCTGGGCGGTCGAATCATCAACCCATTCGACCCGGACAGTGGTTCACTATTTATTAACAACAAGATGTTGAAAGATGGAGAGGGTCTCTCATGTCAGAGATCACCAAGATCCCACTTCCTAGAGAGAGAGAGAGAGAGATGCTAGAAAAAAAGATGGGAGCGGTGAGATCTTAGGCAAGAGAGAGAGAGAGGGACAAGAATGGATGTTGACTCGTTGTTGCATTCTATTATCGCTGCCATCTCCACCTCTGCAGCCATCGCCATCACTGGTGAATGCCAGATCCCCCTCCTTCTTTCCCCTTCTCCTTCCTTTCCTTTCTTTTTCTTTCTTTCCTTTTTTTCCTCTTTCTTTCTCAGTCGATAACCACCTCTGTCTCAACCTCTCTTCTCATAAAAGAAAGACAACCACAAATATTTTCCCTAATCTAATCAAACCGTTTGACCTGGACAATCGAATTGCTAACCCGGGAACCGGTGGCCACATCAATTATATTTCTAGGTCGATTTTTAAAACATTGGTCCTTCCAATACCATGTCTTTCTGATATCATAGATTTTCCTATTATCCTAACAAAGTTGTTGATGTTTGACCATTGTAATTTCAAACAAACTTGAAAGATAGATTAATGGATTGAATGACTAGACTTCATACTTTTTCAGAAGGAGGACAAAGGCTTTTATCATGAGATCAAAGGTTTAATTTCTTTAGTGTGAATGATTTAAGGAGAGTTATTGGTAGAATTCTCTGAAGCGAAACCAAGCATATATCTCATCCAAAATTCTAGGTAAAATAATTTAGTTTGAAAGAAAATGTAAATCATTTTACCCCATTCTCACTCCAGTTTGGATAATATTTCACTTCTTTGATATTTTTACTCCTGACTAAACCTTAAAAGTGTTTCCTTTCTCTCTTATTTTCTATCAAATCAATTATGCCCAAAAAAATAGCAGTTTTCTATATATAACAATAGTCTTTTATTATTTTTTCACCTCACACCCACCACAACTTACAGCCACACATCAAGAATTTCTCCTCCCTATTCAAATGTTTGCATTCATAATGAGATGTTCACAATACACAACTACAAGGTGGAAATTAGTAGACGAGGAGCTGGGGAAGCTATTAGCAGCGGAGTTTGTAAAGGAAATCCAGTATCCGAGTTGGATAGCAAATCTAGTTTTGGTGGAAAAAGCCAATGGCAAGTGGCGTATGTGTGTCGACTGCACGGACTTAAATCGAGCCCGCCCGAAGGATAGCTTTCCTCTGCCTCGGATAGATCGCCTGGTGGGCGCGACCTCAAGGTTCGAGCTGTTGAGCTTTATGGAAGCCTATTCTAGCTATAACTAGACCTGATGGACCCTCGGACCAAGAAAAGACAGCTTTTGAAACTAAGACGGTCTTGTACTGTTTTAAAGTCATGCCCTTTGGACTGAAAAATACTGGAGCAACTTTCCAACAACTTGTAAACTCTGTTTTTTCTGATTTGATTGGAGACAAAATGGAATGTTATGTTGATGACATAGTAGTGAAAACCCATTTTTCAAAGGATTTGGTTGCTAATTTGAATATTGTCTTCAATGTTTTAAGAAAGCATAAATTAAAACTAAGCCTAAACAAGTGCACTTTCGGTGTAACTTCAAGTAAGTTTCTAGGCTACATCGTTAGCCAGCGTGGCATAGAAGCCAACCTAGAAAAAATCCAGACTATTCTAGACATGCAACCGCCAAGCTCGGTTAAGAAAACCCAGAGACTAATAGGACATGTAACAGC